CGGCTTCAGGGCTGAAGGGATCAGCTCAAGCATGGAAAACACACAGGCTGCTCCCAGATAAGCTGTTTGTCCTGCAATCCTCTGCCGCAAACAAGGTCTTCTACAGGGGTCCAAAGGTGGCTGTCTTCCACTAGTCACCCTTCCAGGCTTTTCCATCCCGTCTTCCGTCTTTTTTCTCTCCACAAAAAATCTAGTGAGGAGGAAAAGCAGGTGGTCCTGGGAGCCATCGGCCTGGAAGTGGAAGACGGCATGGAATTTGCCCCTGCAAGCCACCTTGGGGGCCACCCACTCGGATGGCTTTAAGAGGGCTCAGGTAAACGGATGGAGAAGAACTTCCCAGAGGCCAGGGGGCTGCACCCTGAAGCACCCCAGGGGCTGAGGCAGGGGCAGGCAGCTCCTGGCCCTCCAGGGGCCCGTGAGGCCTCGTGGCGTGGCATGGCCGCCTGCGAGGGCTCCCAGGAGCGGCCCTCCAGCAACACCCAAGGGCCACAGGTCGCACACCCTGGGGCTGGTAGGTCAGTAACCACTTTCGTTACTCATTTGTTACCTGTATAGCTATATAGCACCTAATTATTCCTGCTTAACAACCAAGGGCGGGCTTCATTTCCTACAAACACAGGCACGTTACAGGACAGAGCAAAACCGCTTAGATATTTTACTATAGGAAAGCTTGGGCTAATAAAGTATTTAAGTGGCATCGCCGTTTTTTAAATTCATACGTGCATCCTGGAAACAAAGTTTAAGCTACTATTATTTAATCGCTCTACCACCCGACGGCTGAAGCCCCTTGGGTGCCTCGGCAGGGCGAGTTCATCCACGCTGCAGGTTTGCCAGGTGTGCACCTCACCTACAGGAAAGGCCCTGCTGGTATGCAGACACACGCCAGTTCACACGTGTGTGAACAGAGCATCGTGGCTCTTCATGGGTCACCCTCCAGGGGCCCTCTTCTGGAAGGACCCCTGGGCAATTGTTCGGGGGCCCCTCCACCCCCAGATGCCTCCTGTGGCGAGCGGGTCAGCCGTCGGGCCGGGACGTGGGAGGCCTCGGAGCTGCACATGGACTCCCTGGCTCTCTTAGCCTACCTACGCGGTGGCTGTGAAAAGGGAAAGGAAGGGGCCCCCGGAAGCCCCCGCAAGGCTGTGCAAGAGGCATCAGGGTGGGACCATGTGGCGATGCTTCCGTCCATGAGCAGAGAACCTGAACTCTTAAAAAGTTTAACAGTCTCTGCTCCTGAGACTCAACGTGAGCTCCCACCAAGCATCTCTGCTAAAACCCCATTAGTTTTCCTTCCTTGGGCCTCTGCCAGCACCCTCCTTTCTGGCCCCGCTTTTACGACGCCCAAGCTGCTCTGGGCACGGCCGCCTCGGGGGGGGGGCGCCCCGTCCTGGGGGCCAAGCTGCACTCATCGCACGACTGCGCGTTTCGGGCGCTTCTTTCCGCCCCGGCCGGTAACCTCGCCCAGGCGCTGCGCCAGCGGACGCGTCGCTCTTTTCTCGCTTCCCTCCCTGCGGAACCGGCGGCGGTGGCGAGTCCCCGGAGGACTCCGAGGAGGCGAAGGCCTCGGGCCCGCGGCTCCCCGCGCCCAGCACCGGCCGCCCGGGCCCCGCGAGGAGCGACGGCGGGGCGGGCAGGGACGTGCCGGGAACGGCCTCCTCCGCCGACCCCCCACCCGCGGGGGCGACCGGGCCCGCCGAGCCCCGGCCTACTTGGCGAGGCGCATCCGCGGCTGCACGGCCCGGGCGCGCGCCTGGGGGTCGGCGGGCGGGCGGGCGGCGCGGCGCTCCTGAGGCGCCGGACTACGGCTCCCAGCGTCCCCCGCGGCAGCGAGCGGAGGGCGGGGCTTGGCCCTGCGCC